GGGCTGCTGCTTGCTGACTGTCTCTAGTGCTTTGCCTAAGCATGAACTCTGAGGCTCAAACTTCATTTCTCCATCCTTTCAGAGCTTTATTTTACTTTATTTATTTATTTTTTTGGTACCAGGGATTGAACTCAGGACCTTGCGTTTGCGAGGCAGGTGGTGGAACCACTGAGCTAAATCCCTGGCCATTTCAGAGCTTTATTGATCTTGCCTGACATTTGCTTCTCTTGGGTTCTCAGCCCCATGCACCTGGACAAATGGACTCTGAACCTCCAAGTCTTGTAGCCATAGCTGTTTAACCAACTCATTGATTGGGCTAATGGACAGGGCATGAGGTAGCGGTGGGGAACTGCCGTGGATGGAGAAGGGATATTGGTCTTCTGGGAACCCCAGAATACTCCCCTCAGAGACTCCCAAAAATCATTGTCTCAGTGCTTTGTATTTTTAAGAAAACTCTCTCTGATGTTGTAGAAAAGCCATGAAACAGACCCATTATTTAAGGATGCCAGCAGAAGGGGCCAAGTCTGGACCTTCATGCCCATTGGAGATGAAGACCGGGAAGATGATTCCTGGAGGTCTACGTGATGTCTAGATGGCTGAAAGGGTGACATTTATTGGGCAGCATTTTTATGTTTTATCCTATGCTCTCTGATGACTGTACCCTGGCCTCCGATGGCAGGCGATGTGGCAGAAGGTGAAGCATTTTGTCACACCAGAAGAGTAAGTGGTGTTTCACTGCCAAACAGGGGAAAAGCTGTTCTCATTTAGATTTTCTAAAGTCATTTTTTTTGAGCTCTTTGATTGTTGGCATTCAGAAAATAGGTTGGGTTTCTGAGGGATACGGCTTAAAGGAATAACATGGGATCGGCCTGGCATAAACGAGTCAGGAATGAGATAGAAGTCTCTTCTGCAGACGTTTCTATGCAGGTCCAGGTGTAAACATTTAACCCACACAGAATGTAACATACGGCAGCTCCAGGAGGCCGGTGCCATTATTTGTCCTGTTTTATAAAGGAGGAAATGGAAAACTGGAGTGTTTCGGCAACTTACTCTAGCTAGAATTCATACCCCAGCATCTGTCTGGCTCCCAATTTTATGGTTTTACCCCAGACTCGCTTCTCATTGCTCTTGTCTGTTCTTGTGTTTGCCAGAGTCGCTAGCCTGCCACTCTTGTCTACCACATTTTATGCATTTCTTTGTTTTGTGACAAGCCGTAAGGGGAACCTCCTAGATGTTTCCAGGTAGAAAAGTTGTTCTAGAAGCAGTTTGGAGGGCTAACGCTGCTCTATATGATGGGAGCTGGAGCTGGCCCACCATGAGCTCAAGCTTATGCAGGAGGAAAGGCAATAATATCTGGGCCATTTCTTTCCTTATTTACGTATTTACTATTTTTCCAGTAATAAGTTTTTTTTCTAGTATTTGTTGAATACTTACTGTGTGCTTGCTAATATGTCTATTGGCTTAGCTACTAAAAAATATTTGTTCACTCAGGGAGAGAAGAGAAGGGAGAGGCAGGAATTCATGGAGGAATAATGTAACCCCAGAGCTCTGCCTAAGTCCCTCCTCTCCTGGTCTGGGATTAACAGGCATTTTCACAGCACCTGTTGCTTTAGCTTGCTGCGTCCAGGAATGTGATATTTCTTGCTTATTTCTCATGGGTAGAGGATTTTTCTTTTTCTACTTTCCCACAGCTGTAGGTCCTCACCTGACACTAGAACAACAGCATCTGCTGCCCCCACAAGAAGGCCTTTAAGAGGAAGATCCAGCAGGCTTGGTAGGGAGTGTGGAAGATGGGTTTGAAGCCTTTCTCTCAGAGCCCTAGGTCCCCTCCCCTCACTCTGAGGTGAAGGTGGCTCTCTGTGGCTTCTACTTTATTGTCTTTCTTGGGAGCTCCACAGAGACCGATGGGAAAAAAAAATATTTGCCAAGGAGGCCAAAGTCCTTTATGTCTGGGGTTCCCAGAGAGATTTCAGGGTTACTGAGCCTGCACTTGGCCTTCAGCTACTTATTAAATTATAGCTGAGTCTCTTTCCCGCTGACATGGTGGCTACCCCTTTCTCTTGAGTTGGATTTCCTATTCTCATTTCCTATTTTTACTTCCAGTTTGGATTTCCTGTCTCAATTTCCTGTCTGAATATTTTGCTCCTACTTTCTGTCTGTATTTTGTCTCAAATTCTTTTCTGAATTTTCTACCCCAGCTTGCTGTTCTGACTTTCCTTGGAGCACTCTCTCTTCTCAGACTTCAAACTACCCGGATGCTCAGCAACCTCAGCTCTCTGATGAATTTAAGATCAATTATGATTTTGTAGATCTGGAGCTCTCTCTCTCTCTCTTTCTCTCTCTCTCTCTCCTCTCTGAAAGGCTTCTTGTTTTAGCATGGCTGCACTGAAGCAGAACCCTGAAAAGTAAATTTTAATTTCAGATTTTCTGGTTTTAAAAGTTGGTGGCTAAAAAATATTTGAAAACCCTGGGTAGTCTGAAAGCATATTACCAAATCTGACTTGTGTGGATGAGTGACCCATTTCTTTTTGACAATTAGGTTTCTATCTTTCTGGGTGGATGGGAGGCCCTGCAGGGTGGGGAGTTCATCTTACTTCCTTAGGTGTCCTCTGTGCCTGGCACAGAGCTGGGAGAGAGTAGGCACTTTAATTAAATTGCCTCCCTTGGGCAAAGCCGGCCCCAGCACACCCTCTCCTAAATAACCCTTTCCTCTAACAAGAATAAAGAAGGAGATTAAAGAGGTGGTAAGAAGGTATTGCCTGCCATTGTGGTGGGGAAAGAACAAGAACCTGATGCAAGGCCTGGAGGAGAAAAGAATCCATCAAAGCGCTCAAGGGTCAGAGAAAGCCCCTGGAACTGCTCTTCAGATATGTGTACAGCAGTGCTAATGAGCGCTGAGAGCCTTCGAGGACTGGAAATGCGGAGGGAAACTCTTGAGTGGCTGAAAGTTTAATTAACAGCATGATGCTTGGGGGTCCATGATGTGATCTGCATAGGCCTTAGTCTCCCCACAGGCTCCAGGGACATCACTGATTGGAAGCTGAGCTAAGCTAAGCACAATTTGCTGAGGAGGAGTGAGACACATGGCTTTGATGTGAGCAGACTGAGAGAGGTCCCTGGGCCTGCACCTCCTTTCTCCCCCCAGGCCTGAGTTAGGGGCTCGTCTGTCCAGCTCTACACTCTCCTGCCTTCTAGTTCCTCAGCAATAGCCACTTATATAGTAAGGGGGGGGTCTCCTCCTGGGGAGAGTATGAGGAGCAATTCACAGCCCTTCTGCAGAGAAATAAAATACCACCATCTGCTTTGGTTTCTCGTCCCGCTGGGTTCTTCCCCTTTGGCCCCGCAGAGATGGGGTTTGAATGAAGAGGGAGGGCTGCAGGAGAAGTGGGGGTGGGTGGAGAGAAACAGTGATATTCAGAGGTGTGCAGAGACAGAGATGGGATTGGTGAGGGCCATACAGACCGAAGCCACCCAGAGGCAGGTTTGGGAGAACAGAGCAAGACCGAGAGGCAGAGGAAAGCTAAGGAGAAGGAGACAAGGAGAAATCTGGTGCCTGGCAGAGAAAGGCCAATGGGAGGGAGACAAATGGTAGAGAGCAGGTCTGGGGGGGTGAGACGATGACACAGTGGGGTTTTGTCCTCTAAGGACGGGGAATAGAAATCACTAATAGTTACGGACCAGTGGCCAGGATCAGTGGGGCCTGGCATGTGTGATGGGCACGGGCTCCCAGATGGGGACTGTGACAGCAGCAGCTTCGTGTCTGCTGGATTGTGTGTGCTCGGCTTCCTGCTTGGTACGTGTTCAGGATCCCTCTCTGGACAGGCCTCCCTTCCTCCTTGGAGTGATAGCTGGATTAGGTGTTCGGTCTTCCACTCTGGGGCCGGCATTAACATTCAGAGTTCTGCCGGCTCCCTTTTCTCTCTGACCTCCCTTGGTGCCCTGTCCAGGTTGCTGACCTGAATATTAAAGGGCAGGGAGGTCCTCCTCAAGTTAGGATGGTGACCTGGGGCACCACAGAGGCTGGACTCGCCTACCTGGGCACACATTTCTAGCTCTTTAGAAACCTTCTCTTCACCCAGTTGCTGAACCCACAGGCACAGAGCCCTGGACGAGGGGAACCACCTATCATTTGCTCCGAGGGGTCACATACGGAGAGGTGTTTTACTTACCCAAGTTAGAAGCATCCATCCTTGGCTCAGCATTGATGTTCATGCAAAGTGCTAGAACATATTCATTTCTGTAGGAGTGAAGAGGTTCAGAAAATCCGGCTGTTGCCACGGGAAGAACCGAGATTTGACGTCAGCTGGGTTCCAGCTGTTAACAGGGCCCACAGCAGCAGCAGTTGGCTTTATTCCTCCCTGGTGAAATGTGGTGGCTGTGTCCCTAGCTTAGTTAGAGGAGGAACTGGAGACAAGGGTTAGGCCCCCGAAGAGAGAGGGCCCAGGTGACCCAGGTTAGACATGAGATCAGGACTCTGGAGTTTGAGGCTGGGAGTAGTAGGTTCAATGTTCCTGCTCCTCTTCCAGTGCTTCTTTCAAGTTCCAGGACTAGGGCCACATGCAGGCTGACCCGAGGTGAGAGCTCCTGACGTGGAAGAGCTTCACCTCTCCTTCTGGTGGGTCCTTAGGTGAACCCCCTTCAGGGCACAGGTGGGAGCTCGCTTGCTCACTCTGGGAGCCTGCACAGTGGTATCAGTACTAGGACCAGTGAGAAAGAGGAGGCTCCAAAAATGGTCTCCTGGCTTTGGGTGGGAGAGAAATAAATGGGTAGGCCAATTGTGGCAACACACATTCTCCAACTCTCAGCGGCTTCAGATGCTCACATCACAGTCCAGTAGGAGCTGGCACAAGAGCTCTGTTCCATGCTGTCCTCCAGGGATCAGGTCCCTTCCTCTTTATGCTTTCTAGTCCTCTAGGACCTGAGAAGTAAAAATGTCACACTGGAGGTTTTGGATTGGTGTGGAAGTTGCAAGCAGCTGTGTATTCATGTTATTCTGTTTTTCAACCCTGTGATGAAATACCTAAGACAAACAACTTAAAGAAGGAAGAGCTTATTTTGGCTCATTATTTCAGAAGTTTCAGCCCATGGTCAGCTTGTTCCATTGCTTTTAGGCCTCTAGCAAGGCAGAAGCTTCATGCAGGAAGGGTATGACAGCATTGTTCACATAATGGCCCCATCCTAGGGCAGCATCTCTGCTTGTGGCATTTTTGTAGCTTTTGAACAAAATCCTTGGGGTGGCCAATGTAAGACTCATCACAAGTGCATTGGGTTGCAAACTTAATCTATCTAGGTGGCCAGGCTGTTCTTGAAATACACAGCTGATGGCTGTGACAGACCAGAGAGGCCTGTCTTCTCAAGCCCTGCCATGAACGACTCTGGGAGAAAATGAGCATTGCTAGACTTTCAGAAATGTCAAGAGAAGCATCAAGACCGAGCTTGACGTGCACTCATCTGGTTTTAATACCAGCAACCAATATCCTAAAACATACTCAGCAATACTGCAGCCCAAACCAAATGCAGGAGAGCTATTTCCCAAGGGTGGCGCTCTCATTTTTGCTGTGACGCTAGATTCGGTGCCTGATCCAGGGCTGGGTCCCTCTTTCCACGTCAGAGGGGACCCACCTGCACTAGTGACACCTTTCTGGGTGTGCAGGAAAACAGCCAAGTGTTAAATAAACATCCACTAATTATCCTGAGAATATTTATTGAGGTTTCCCCACATTGTAGTAAGAAATTATTGAAACACATATCATCTACAGAGCTGTTAATCACTGGTAAATATATTTTAAATACAGCAGTCTATTAGTATTTTAATTTAGCCTGTCTCCTAGAGAATATGTACTGGATCAGACAAATGTCCCAAGCTTCAGAGCCAAGGGAAAAATTTCCTCACCTAGTTAATCTTTATGTTCTTCTCTCAGGGAGGAAATTCCTGCAGTACCACAAGAGAAATATTCCTCCTGGCTGTATTGATGGCAAGTCCTTGGGGAGGTCTCTGAGGCGAGGCAAGGAGACCACAGCTCTGGAGAGGTCAGAGAGCACAGGACCAGGGCAGGGCGAGGAGTTAGGGTTGCTATTAGCTTGGTCACTTTCTTGCCAGTTTACTTAAGTGCAAAATTGTGCAACTCAAAAGCAGTAACTGATTTACTCAACCTCACTGAGCGCGGTGGACTTGTCCAACTTGAGCGCTCTGCACGGAATTGTTCATCTCCCCTCTCTGCAGCCGGACTTCCGGTCTAGGTATTGATTCAGACTTCCTGCTTCACATGTGCCTTTACGTCAGCTGGGGCCGCTCAGTAGGGCCAGACACAGTGACGGGCTGAGAAATTTCTTGCTAGCCTCTGCCTTGTAGGCTACTGTGTGGGCTTTGTGGAACCTTCTCGTCTAAGCTGTGTGTTCATTGGACAGACCCAGTGCAGCACAGGATACTTACCAGGTGCTGTTCTAGGCACAGAGGACACAGGTGTGAACCGAGGGGAAGACGTCCGACCTTCAAGCGGCTCATCTTCTGGGTGTGGCGGGTGGAAAGCAGGAATGTCAGCATCAGTCTGGTGGGGCCCTTTTGTGTGTTCCGGAAGTCAGGGGAAGGGGCAGAGTCGGGTGGGGGAGGACGACGATGCAACTTGGAAAACGTGGAGCCGAGCTGTGCGCGGTCCGCCCGGACGCTGGTGAGAACGCCTGTGCCGCAAACTCTCTTCCTTTCCTTTTGTCGTAGCTGTAGCAGGCAGGCCTGCTGTGCGCCGAGCTGTGTCCCGGGCACATCCGGTTCAGGGCCCAGAGGCGGGCAGTTCGGGAAGCGTGGACGGCCGCGTGTCTGCTTCGCTGCCTCTTGGAGAGGCCTGACTCGGCGCAGGTGCCGCCAGGAGGTGGGGTTGGCGTCCCGTCCCCGTCCCCAGGGAGGACTTCGCCCCAGGGAGACAGGAGGCGGTGGTCAAGGCCTTGGGCCCCGGCGGGGCGGCGCGGTGAGCCACTCCAAGGGCGCTGGGCACAGCTCCTCGGAGAGACCCGGGCCGAGGCCCGCCTGCCCCGTGGTTCTCGTCCGGTCAACAGCGTCCATTTCACTTGCTTTTCCATGTAGCTCTCCCCATCCCTCACTGCTCCTTTCTCAAAAACAGCTCTCAAACTCCCTGCACTCGAGTCTCTGCCTCAGGCTCTGCTTTTGGAGGTCCCCCCCTCAGGGCGGACTCTTTCCTACTCCGGGTGCTCACTGACCAGGACAGGGGCAGATTTCCCAAGAGGAATGTGAGGGAGGAGAATGGAGGAGGGCTGGGAATCCTGAGAGAAAAAGGAAGAAGGTTGGGTTCTCCTAAGTGCACACAAACAAGCTACCCAAGGGCAAACGCCAACACTCAAATGCTTAGGAAGGAGTTCACCAGCTCTTTTTTCATCTTTCTGTTCCCTTCTGTGTGCTGTGAGGTCATAGGCAGTCTTCACAGGAGCTTTTTTGTCCCCAGCATGGCCCTAGCTGAGACGTTGTCTTCTGATACCTGGTTGCTTGGCGATCCAGCGATGTATTTCTTGAAGCACGGTGTGTGCGGTTGAAGTCCACCTGCAATGCTGCCCCTGCTCAGGAGGCGTCCCTGATGCCTTCCTGAAGTCACCGCCTCCCAGAAGTTTCTGTCTCAGCTCTCTGCACAGCAGTGCTGTGAAGTGAAGAGCTGAGAGGGTCAGGGGCATAACCAGTGTGCACTCACTCCTTACCGTGCAGGGGAATGTTGCTGCATATGTTTCCTGTTCAGTCTCAGGCTGGAAGGGCAGTGGCTGAGACATAGTCTCAAGAAAGAGATTGGACAGTCCCAGAAGGGAGAGCAGGAATGGACAGCCCTGACTCTGAATTCTGAAACCATCCCTTCCACTCACACCTTATTAGACCAAGCAAGTCCTATGTCCAAGCCTCTAATATCAGGGTGCTAGGAAGCACGGCCTTCTCACGAGAAATATGCCGGCACACCTGTAAACAGATACACGCGAAACATCCATCACATATTAGGTTCCAGAGCAGGTGGTATATTCTTTCCTTGTGGGATTTACAATTTCCTCCATTGTCTGGATGCCAATTACATGCAGCTTTATCTCCCAGCCACACTGTGAGTTTCTTCAGGGCAGAATCCATGTAAAACAGCTCTCAGTACCTCCCCACCAATTAACTCAGAAAAGGGATATTGCACATAGTAATATATGATCAGATTCTGGGGACATTTTGAAGGTAGAGCAGGAAGAATTTGCCGACCGATTGGATATATGCTGTGTAAGAGAAAGAGAGAGAAGGTGATGTTGGATTTGACCGGAGCAATTCAGGGAATTCAGGTGCCCTGTACACACGTGGGGAAACTGTGGGAGGAACTGACACTCAGGAAATGGAAGATAATTAATAGCTATTTTATTGCTTCCAGAAGTGTGGAATGCTCAATATTTATGAGTGGAAGATGAGATGTTCAGGTGAGACAGAGACCCGAGAACATTTAATGTTGAATCCGAGCTAGAAAGTGATTTGTCTTTCAGTTCTTTATTGGCTCTTTTGATTAGTTAAAAGCAGTCTCAGTTTGGTGCTGGTGGGTCTTTAAACATTTGCTGATTTCCCTTTTTAGAAAAGAGATGTCATGCTGAAGGCTTAGGGAATGGGCTGGCAGCTATCTCTAGCTAGGCTTAATAATAGCGTTTTCTTTTCATTGTGTTTCTTTTTCTGGGTAACTTCTTCTTATGACTTCGGGTGCTGGCTCGTTTATAGGCTAGCTATGTATTTCCCCTTAAAATGAATTTATTTATGTTAAAAGGGAATCGGTTTACAAATAGATGTTTAAGTAAACCCATGTGTCCATTTATTTAGGAAGTATTTGGGTACTAGAGATACAGGTAGGATCACAGGCTTCTTGGAGCTCTCAGTCCAGCGGGGAGGTGACTGACAGACAAAGAGAACAGGTGAAATGGGAAGCATTTTAGGTCGTGGTAAGGCCTATGGAATAAATGAAGCAGAAAAGAGGGAGTGGTTCTGGGGTGGGTGGGGGGTTGCAGTTTAAGTGGCATGGGTGTCCAGGGACTGTGGGCGTGGAGAAGGTAGCAGTTAGAGAAAGGCCCGAAGAAGCTAGCCACACTGGCATCCAGGGGGGAGTGTTCCTGGCTCAGAAAGGCAAGCATGAAGTCCCTGGCATGTGGGAGAAGGACAAGAGAATGAGTCTGAGTATGAGAGATGCAAAGAGCAAGGAGGGAGGAGTGGAGCGTCCTGGCGACGGGGAGGAAGGTGGAAGACCATGCAGGACCCGTGCGGCGCTGTCCGAAGCTCAGCTCTGCCGCAGTGACTTGGGGAGTCCTGGGGGATTCTGAAGGGGCAAGCCGCACGATCTGCCTTCCAGTTGAAAGGGCCCCTGCGGTTGCTGTGTCTGGAACAGGCCCAAAGTGGGGCTGCCCTGCAGAATGCAGAGGGCTCAGCCAGGAGAGCCTCGAGGAGTTCCGTGCCGTCCAGGTGACTGAGAGGCCTGGTAGCCGGCAAGCCAACACTGTGGCTGTGGGATATTTGAGGCTGCGGTGTAGGGGAGGGTCCCGCCTGGGGACTCCAATGCAGGTGCCATCAGCAGGTAGATGGAGTCAGATGGTCACACACGAGATGTGGCCGAGACAGAGCGGGATCTCCTCTCCTCCCTGCTGCAGCTCACTGTGGCTCTTTGGTTGGTGGCTGAGGTCTGGGCCCAGCTACGGCAGGTGCAGGTGGTCAAGGTTATCTTCCTAGTGACTCTGGGAAACACTCCAGTTTCTGGGAAACGGTGGCCCCAGAAGGGCAAAGAAGATTTGCCTTGAAAACCTGTGCTTTCAGCCCAAGCACTGCGCATGCCAAGCATTACACATCCAGCTTTTCAGACAGACCCGTCTTGTCATTCTGGCTTCCTAGACCTTGCTTTTCTTCTCTGCAGAGTTCATATTTTCACTGGGAAACAGTTGTCTGAAGCCTGAACTGTATATGTCAAAACATCCTGTTAGGGTTTTCTGAGGTTTCTGATGTTGGACAATTCAGGGCATTAGATTTCCACATCAGAGAAGGGAATTTTCTTCCTGTCATTATGATATCACTGTAGATGGGTCTCCACTGCTCTGGGTCAGGGGCCAAAGCAAGATAGAAGCCTTAGATGCGCAGAAAGTGAAACCAGCTCAGCTTGAGAATTGGGAGGAGAATTTAAAATAATAATAACCACCATCAAGTGGACGCTTATGTTTGCTGGTTTCTGTTTTGTGGTGGATGCTACTGGTGACCTAATAGGAGTCCTACCCATCCTCCAGCTGCCATGGGCTACCTTCTGAAGGTAGTTCTGAGCCGCCTTCTGGCTGAATAAGCTACCTTTCCCACCTTAATGGGAGCCTCCTCCCCTGCCTGAATAGGAACCACCTCCTCTGGCCAAACAGGGCTGCCTCACCTGGCTGAATAGGGGCCATCTCACCTGCCCACGAGACAGGGGTCAGTCAGCAGCCGATACCATAGCTGATGCAGTGTGGCCTCCTGGCTTCCATGTGGGACCAGCTCTGTGGTTCAGGGTGTGGTCTGGAGCTTCCTCAGGATCAGGCTGAAGGCAGCCCTGGGCTGAGACCACATCCCTGCCTTTCTTCCATCTTTCATCCCGTTCTGCTTCCCTCACTGTCCTCTTCCCTGGAGCTCTCTGCATCTCAGAATCCAGTCTCAGGCTTGCTGTCTAGGGCGCTCCGCTTCACTGTCTGATGTATTAAGGGTGATACGATCCTCTCAGTGAGCCTCTGACACAGAATAACGACAATGTAATGATAGGAACACTGCTAACAACAGCACTGATTCTCCTCTGCAGACTCAGGGAGGTAAGTGAGCAGCCCAGGGCCAAATCCAGCATTTGCTCTGAAGTTCTTGTTCGAACAATATGACTCCTGACCTTTCCATGCAGGTGGTCACAGGTATTTGCAAGTTCAAATGTTTTCTGCTTTTCTCTTCTTTGGGGGCCAATCATGGACTTGGTAAACAGTACTGACCGGTAGGCCAGGGAGCAGCCACCTGCAGTGACCATGGGCAGAGGGATAAAGGACACCTGGACACTGGGGAGACAGAGCGAGGTGTTTATTCATCAAATGGAGATCCACATCAAATGCTGGGAGGAAGAAGTAGCTCTTCCTGGAAAATCTGAAGACCTCTGCCATGGGATACAGCAGGGAATTTCAGCTGTTTGTAAGTCTCTCATGTTCTCTTGAGCTCCTGCTCTGGATTTGCTGGCAGAGGCTTTCTGTGCAGGGTTTCCGTAGCCTAGTGTTCAGGAGACATCAATACCTGTCTAGGCCCTACCACTAACTACCAATGTCTCCTTGCTAACTGAAGCCATTTCCTCACCTGTAAAATGGGAGAAAATACTTCTACCCCATCTTCTTAAAATCACTGTAAGTACATGAAAACCTGCAACAGGCTGTGCCCGGAGAGAGAGAGTGGATTTAGGCTGCTTGTTGGATTGCGGAGTGAGGGCAGGGTCTGGGTTCCCTGGATGATACCCAAGTGTACTGAGGGCTTCCGCCCCCTGGCGGATCGGCTCTGCACTCAAACTGGAGGAGGAACTCCAGGCGCGTCTTTAAGGCGAACACCCACACCCTACCAACCACGGTGGGAAGGCAGCGAGAGAACAGTCCATGGCTAGGGAGGATCTGGGGGGCTTTGGTTGACAGTAAAGTCAATAGCAGCCAAAAATGATGACAGCATTGTCCTTGCAGAAACACAAATATGATTCTCCCCTTCTGGAAGAGGAGGGCATGATCTCATTCTTCCTCAGTCGAGGGAGATTGTAGTTGGAAAATAAAATTGTAACGATGGGAACTTACATTCATCGACCACTTACATCATGTCCTGCACTGAGCTAAGTGTTTTATAAGCATTGTCCTCTTCAATTCTCACAGCATCTTATGTTAGAGGAAATAGTATTTTTAATACTACAGAGGGGGGAATTGGGGCTTGGATAGGTGGCTTTTCCCAGAACCCTACAATGAGTAAGTTGACATCCTTACCAAGAACAAAGTGTGTCTTGGTCTGAGGGCCGTGCTTCACTGTGGGTCTGGCCGTCACGTTCATGGGTCGCTGTCAGACAGCAGAAAATATTAGAGCGCATGGCAAATAGTAGGGTGACTTCACACAACTTCCGTCCAGGTGATGCTTGGGTGGTGAGGATGTGTGCACACGTGTTTCTGTGTCTCGGATCGTGATGTTGTTCTTACTGTAAGTTATAATATTTAAACATTTGAAAGCAACTCTATCAGCCTGAACTCTGCTTCTGTCTTTGGATTTCTCACTTTGAGAGGGACAGAGCAGCGCACAGCATGAGCAGGGGAGGATGGGGGTGGGAAGAGTGGTGAGCAGAACAAGGTCTCCAGTCCTTCTCCCCTCAAGACTGGGAGCTTCCTCCAGGCTGCTGCTTCTCTGGCCTGCCATTGGCGCTCAGCCTGCAGGACTGCGTAACTGGCAGGGCAGGCTGGCTGGCTGGCTGGCGTGCTATCTGACTAATTAGGCAAGGTCAGTGCAGGAGGTTTCCGAGGCCACAGCCCATTGGGAGACTGTTTAGGTGGAGCTAGGAGAAGCTTCAAATTTGGAATTAGGCAGAATGTGAGGGCAATGCAAGAGGAGACTCTGCTTCCTGCTATGCAGCCTTTGCCAGTGGCTGGACACTGAAGGACCCTGGGAAGTATTTGTCAGAGGACCAGGTGTCCATAGCCACTCTCTTCTATGCTTAAATGCCTTTTGGCTAATTGCCTAACCTTTTTGAGCAGCAGTTTCCTCATCTTTAGAATGAGGATATGAGATATGACTACATTTTCCCGAGGGTTGCTGGAGGAATCAAATGTGACAAATTTGAAAGGAGCTAGCTGCACATCAGGTGGCTCTTTTCCCGAAGAGGGACTGACGTTTTTGTCCTTCTCTCCTGAGGTCCTGAGGTTCTTGGTTTCTAGAGTCCTTCCATGTGCCCATCATTGCTTCTGTGACTGCAGCTCCGGCTGGTGGGACCCCATCTTCTAACAGGAGACTAGAGGAAGGGACTGGCGCCGCTTCATGGCTTCTTCTGTCTGGAGGATGCCCTTTGCAGACACAGTGCTGCCGGGCTCCACAGCCTCCAGGGCTGAGGCTGCAGGTGAGGCCCCTCCATGCCTTCTGGGAAGCTGGCCACACCTTCTGACATAGCCAGCACTGCTCAGAGCTCTCCAACTTTGTGCCGCTTTGGGGCATTCTGGGCCAATTACTACTTTCGATGCACTCTAATATGTTCTGATGTCTGACAATGACCCATGAACTTGATTGCAGGACCCACAGTGAATGAAGCATGGTCCTCAGACTGAGAGACATTTCATTCTCGGTACTCAGTTCTTTGGTACCTATAATGGAAGGCATTTTTCTATGAGGACATTTATATTCATGTATATTATAGATGTAATTTTAAGTGTGATCCTTCTCTGCTCTTTTCTAATGTGCTTTCCTGTATTTAACTGTTTCTCATGTGAGAATGAATGTGCTTTAGTCCTAACATCTGCATAGTATTCCATCACATCCTGTTCACCTAATTTCATTAACCAATTAAACTCCTGATGGGCATTTGTCTTATTTCTAGTTATTTTGCTCCCGATGAGCATGTTTACCTACTTGGGGGATTAATGCTTTGAGTCTTCTATGGGAGATGGGTTTTATTTAGTGAGAGATATCTAGATTTTGGAAACATTGGGGAATGGCTTGGCAGTGGGTTTCTTTGACTGTTGTAAGAGACATTTTTCCAGGCCTGAGTGTTTCTGACTGCGGGCTCTGTGGATGCACAGAGGGCTCAGAGTCATCTTCCTCGCCGTGTGGATTTTGGATAGGGATGGCCAGAGAGAGCGGTGAGTAAACCTGCTGTGCGTGATGGGAAGGAACTAGAGAAGATTTTGCAGGAACACCGGACCTGAGCTTCAGGTGGGTGGAATTCTCCACGTGAAAAGGAAAGAGAAAGGCATTCTGACATAAGAAACAGAGCTTACAAAGCCTGGGAGGGAGGAGGGTGAGCCTGCCATGTTTTGCATTTGGCAAATCCCGGCTTACAGGAGGGAGGGTCCAGCAGGAAGCTGCCAAAGGTGCGGAGGGATAGCAGGGACCATGCTGCAAAGCCTGTGCTTGGAGCGAGGAGGAGGAGTGAAATGTCAGTGGAGGTCACGGGCTCTGGGGTCAAGGGGGGCGGGCGCTCCAGTCTTCAGCTCATGGGTGCAAGGCCTTGTCAGCAGTGCCTTTGGTCCTGGCAGAGCGCACAGTAAGGGCTGGCCCTGGCTCTCCTCTGGCCGTGGGCCTCTGCATGGGATTCGGTCAGTGGGGTCAAGGGTCACCTACCCAGACCACAGGCTCTGTTTTTCCAACCACATGAGCCATGAATCTCATCCTAGTCTACGTCCAGGGCCTGCAAGAACCTCTTTCATGAATGTGTGCCCCTGAGGGTGCCATTTCTGGGTGCATTCCAACTTGAGCAGTGCCCCAGGGTTGGCTGCTTATAGGAAATACAGGCAAAGCAGGCTGGATCCACACACCCATGAGGAGGCGCTCCAGTGTAAGACAGAGCCAAGACGCAAGGAGGAGGGGGCCCCACTTGGCCCCACTTGGCCCCACTTGCCCAAGGCCCCATAAATGTCAAGGCCACTTAACTCTTTGCTTCTGAGTTTCCTCTTCTCTAAGGTGAGATTCCTCATAGACCCTGTGTCATAGGGATTTGGTGGAGATTAAATAAGAATTCTAATGTAAAGTGCTCAGTGTAATGGCTATGTGTAGTAGGTGCTCAGTAAAGGCTTATTGTAGGGAAAGGGTTCTCAGGGAGGCTTTGGAGCTGGCAGTGCATGCTGGATGGGGGTGTGGGATATGAGGTAGCCTGGGGGTGGACAGCCACAGGCAGAGAGACCAGTAAGAGTGAGGCACAGCACTGATGCAGATGGGGGTGTGGGTAGTGGGGCTATGAGGCCATGGTGTCTCCAGGCATCTGTGGTCACTGGAATTGGGGCTGCACGACACTTTCCACTCGGTCATTGCAACCAGCATTTCCATAACATAATCCTTGACTCCAGCATGAGAGTGGCCAGGTGGTTCTGCTAAATGCAGATTCCCAGGCACCTAGCAGACACTGAAGTCAAAATCTTGGTGAATGGGAGCCAGAAGTGCTAATAGAGCTTGGTACATTTGTGAACTGGGGACCCAGTGAAATAAAGAGCAGTTGCCAACTAAAGGTTGGGTTTTAAAATCTGGAATGACATTGAAAGAAAAGACTATTATCTTGCTGGCAGGAAGAAACTATTACTTAGTATGTATCAACTATTTTGGAGGAAATGTCTTTCCAAACATGAAGCCAAAGGAGAAAAAGAATAAGGAGTTGGTGATAAAGGCTTTAGAAGCTACAGCTTAGAAGGAGGCTGTGTGTGTGTGTGTGTGTGTTTGTGTGTGTGTATCTAAGAGATTGCAAATCGATATCCCATTTCCCTTGGAGTTTACACAGCTGCCCACAGGGCGATTCCTGACTCAAGGATAAATAGGGCTATATCATTGTGCAAGGGAACAATGAATTTTCCAGATGGGCCACATATCCTTTCCCTGGCCTTTCAGGAGCTAGTTCAGGCTCTCTGAGAAGCACACACACACATCAAGCCCTCCCAAAGCCAGTTCCCCAGGTTGCGCGGGTTGGTGAGCGATTGCGGGTGTGTGGGAGGAAGCCTCGTGACTGAGCTAGATCCTCTGAACTCAGGCAAGGATTACTGTGATTGTTGCTGGATTTTCTCACTGCTGGACTCTGGTTACATTGAGGGAAAGGTCGTCTTGTATTTCTCTCTGTCACACCTCCTGTGTCCATCAGGATTGCTCAGGTTGTGCTGCAGTCATGAGGGCCGAGTGTGGGTCCTTGCTCACGCTACGGTGTCCCTCATGGGCCAGGTGGGGCCGGGCCTGTGTCATTCTCACTCTGGTACCCAGGCTAAAGATGGAGCTGTCAGCATCTGGGCCACTGCCAGTCACCAGGGAAGGGGGAAGGATGTGTGGTAGACTTCACAGTGCATCTTAAGAACTTCTGCCCGGACTCACAAATGACTACTCACATTTCATGTGGCACCATGTAAGTGAAAGAAGATGCGAAGTTTCATGAACTTAGTTTTTGGGAGGAGGAAACCAGAAATATTGGTCAACAGCATGAACGACCTCCACACTAGTGTAACTAACTAGGGCTTGGACCTGTACAGGAAATGAGTGGAATGGGCTCATCAGGAGTCCAGAGCTATAGGAATGAGTCACATGAGCAGATGCTTGGGGCTGGGGTATCCAGGTGCTGCATTGCTGTCTGGGCATCCATTTCTGTATTTAAAAAATAGAACACTTCCCCCTTTAACTTTGAGTTTTCCCTTTGTCTGTAAGCTAGGTAGGCATTACCAACTGAGCTGCCAGTTTGATCTCTATGATTTGAATTCTGAATGCCGTTCAAGGTCTTCCTGGGAAATGCCTGGCACCAGACACATGAAGTTGTAATGGACATCCTGAGTGGGCACAGCTGGAAAACCTGAGCAGCACTCGGGGAGCAGTCCTCCTACCCCAGCTGTTTGCAATGCAATACGCGCTCCGTCGGAAGGCGAGACTAGAGGAGCCCCAAGAGCATGAGCTACCAGGCCTGATGGGCTGAGTTCTCATCTCACCCTCAGCACTTGCTGTGCGGCCTCGGCAGATGACTCTTCTGCTCTTGGCTCCTTCCCTTAGGTTCAGTGTGGGCTGATGAGTTCACCTGTGCAGTCCTGCAGCCTGACACCTGACAGCGATCGAGTGCTCAGTGATGCATGTTTGCTGTGAGCCTGACTGTTACCATTCCTTTCTGCAAGCAGAGACCCCAGTGCTCAAAGCTCAGTGTTTTCATGCGTGAAACAGAAACACCAAGGCCTCAGCCCATGTTTTCAAGTCCTGAGGTCGGCGGCAACGCCTAACACAATGCTGATTCGAAGTCGGGAGCCGATCTTGGGCCATTTCGCCTCCTGGTTCCTCAGCTCTCCCATTGTACAAGCTCAGGAAAATCACGATATTTGTCGGTGCCTCAGTTTCCTTATCTGTAAGTATGCACGCGCGTACCTGAGTCATGTGCTGGGATAGTGTGCTCCAGCCCCTTCCCTGGTGTTTCTTACCATGGGACAGAAATTACAAGAGAAATCCTATCAGGGTGCAAAGCTACCTGAACCCTAGAAATCCTGCAAGAGCCCCAAGGCAGCCAGCAGCTCACCCTGCACCCCGCTCAGCCTTCCCATCTTCACCCGAGGCCCAGCCTGCGAGGTGACTCTGGACCCCACAGATTACAGACAGCAACCTGGCTAAAATGTATACTGACCAGGTCAGCACCAGCCCAGACCCCTCCAGAGGCTCCACTGGCCTCCAGTAAAAGCTGTGCAGCTGGGATGCTGAGCCCTCCACACTCAGGGCCTGCAGCGTCTTCAGACCCGGCTCTCTCCATGGCTGCCCACAGAAGGCGCTGTGTTCTGTCGGGCGGTACCACGCTGCCCCACTCCCCATGCCTTTCCCGCCTTGGTGCTTGGGCCCAGCACTTTCTGCCTGAGAACGTCCTTCCTAGGGCCGCACTCCTAACTCCCGCTCACTTTTAAGGCTTGGGTTTGGGAACCAAGTCTCTAGGGTCTGAGTCACGCCTGCCTTCTCTTCCCCGAGGCTGGATTGGAGCACTCCTGAGGCCCCCACAGTGCCCTGACTTTATGGATCCTTCTGTCTCCTTCCCTCACCTAAAGGACGAGACTCAGAAGGTGAGTAACATACCCAGCATCCTGCAGCTACTTAGCAGCAGAGGCAGCGAGCTGGGGCGCCGTGGAGTAGGAATTGGTGTTTGTTGAAATGTGGCAAAAGATCGAAGAAGAGCAGGGTCATCCTTGATGAAGGGGACATCATCCAATTCCAGGGGGGAAACAAACTCTTAAGAAATATCCTGAAGAACATTCTGGTGCTTCAGCACTCAAAAAGCAGTAGGGGGAAGGGGGAGGAGTGAGGCATAAGAAAACTCGGAAAATTGGTGCAAAGATTTCCTCCTTGTAATCTGTCTACACCTGGGGGGACTCGTGGCTGACAGTGTAAAAACCAGGGTGGGGGAGAAAGGCACTGGATATAAATACATAATGTATCCACTGTCTATATTTTAGGCAAATCAATAGAGTCGAGAAGTAACCCCACAGCATCTTGGGGGTCACACATTTCCTTGTTTGTAGACAGATAGCTTCTTCGGGCCTGGAGTGACCCTTTCGGGCACTGTCGGATGGAGGTGGAGATTTTGGGAGCCCAGAGTGCAGGGATGGGATGATGTCCTTACCCCGCCAGGTGTTGCCAGTGTCTCTGAGGCCCTAGGAGAGGGGCAGGGAGACAGTGAAGAATGCTGGCCATGCTTACCCTTTGGACGGTTTGGGCCCAGCTAGGCTTCTCGGGGGTGGAGGTGACCAAAGGCAAGAGTAGGAACGGGTCCTTCTCTGCCTACTGCCTCTGCGGGATAATTCCGGAGCCCTGAGGACTCAGGCTGAGCACTGCCGGGGGTGCTGTGCCCAGAAGACCCAGCACAATTGTAGTGTCATGGCCATGACTATCAGGACCAGTGACCCCTCCCAGAAAACTGGAGAGTATGACAGGCTTGAACTTGTGGAGACCATGTGGGGATCTCACTAAGTCATTGGAGCAAACTTGAAAAAGGGCTCGCTTGTTCACGGGGCACTGGATGGCCAAGGTTGTCTTCACTTGGGTGTTGTTGCTAGTCATGGCCTTTTTGGGGGGACAGTGTTGTCATGTATGTGTGCACATGTGTGACCGTGCATGAAATGAAATAATTGTTCCATGAAGAGCTGACTGTGTTGCTTCAATCCGGGATCAATTTCAGTAGGGCCCATCACAACTGTACTCGGTGGTAGCCAGTGGCCCTTTCCTCAATTCATGGACCCTTGCTCACTAGAGTGATTTTAGGTAAGCTGCACCAATTTCCCTAATTTCCGGGGAGCTGAAATGGATTGGTGATGTGGCCACCAGGGCTTAACCTGCGAGGTCTTGGTTCGGCATCACTGGTGACATCAACAGGGCCCTTCTCCATGCTAGTGGCAGGAGCGGGGGCTCCTGAGATGTGGGGTCAGCCAGAGCCTGCAGAGCTGTCACAGGGTCAGCAGTTACAGCATCTGGGTTCTGGGCTCCAGGACTTACCTGGCTTATGCTCTATTAGCAGGTGGAAAGGAGGAGCAGGACTCATGTGGATGTATCAGCACCTTTGGTGCTTTTCAGAGACATCAGGAAGGGAGAAACCAGAGCAAAGACCCAACTCACTGCTACGTTGGAAGCTAGGACTCAGAGCACTAGGATTGAGGGGGACTTCAGCTCTCTGGGTGGTGAAACTTGTAATCCAAGCTGATTAACAAAAAAGTAGACTGAGAGGAATCTCACCCCTTGAGCGGCACATTCTCTTAGATCTCAACTATCATACGGAGATGCAACAGCCAAAATGGTTTGTGCCATTAGAGGCGACATGCTTCCTCTTTGTTCGTCTAGCATTAACAGGCTCAGAAGAGAGGCTATGATTGGCTTAGGATGCACCATGTATCATGAGATGTTGTGATTGGTTGGAATTCTTCCCAAGTCATTGCCCAGCCCCTGTGTGACAGCCACTGCCTTATGCACCAGTCCTGGGTCCAGCCAGGGACAGCTGTGGTGAGTGTCTCCCTTGGAAGCACATGGTTCAAAAGAGAATTATGGTAAGAAAACCTACTGGGACATGGTTTTTAAAAAAGAAGCTGGATAACTGACAGGCAATTATAATGTTGTCTACTCTTCTTTAGTCAATTTAAATTTCGTACTTGAATTCTACACATTGGTTCATGGTGGGTTTGAACTGACCTGATTTCATCATGCCCTTCCCTTCAGGGGAAGCTGATGACCAGCAGGAAAGAGGGTGACCATGAAATGACACGGCCTTGTGCAGGTGCCCAGTAGTTAAATCTATTGATGATAAACACAGAGAAGGATGCAAGTGATAGCTTTGGCCATAAGACACTCAGATCTACTGGAGGAAGTGACACACTTCTTTTTCCTGTGCTGGCAGAGGTACTGAAGAGCATATAATGCCAAGACATAGCAGGAAAGTGGTCAAATTTCTGGATGTGAGTGATGAGGATGCCACCTCCAAATTGATGGAGGAAAGTCACAATGACAGGCTCAACTTTCCCGTCTCTCTGGACAACTGGGAGTCCGCAGCAGGCATGCTGGTCCCCAGCCTAGGAAGCACAGCCCTCTGCCGTCTCCTACTGGTCTCTCCACCCTAGCGATTCAAAGCCAATCCGGGTGAGGTAGACCATTTGGCTGACAGGGAAAGCTGACATTATAAAATGTTATACAATGTTGCAGTGGAGAGATACAGTAAAGACACTTTTTATTTGTTTATTTTAATTTTCTTAGTTTTTATCTTGACTTGAGACATTGTTCTGTTGCCACGAGATCTACGCATTTGAAAAGAGTCACCTGGGTCTTCTCTACTTTGTGCTGGGACCATGTGTGATCAGAGCTACCAAGAGGGAGGCCTTAGTAGTTGTGGCAGCCTCAGTGGCACGGGAAATGTCATGGCACACAATTCAAGTGCTTCCAGGGTCCAGTTCCTTGAATGACCCTGGACAGTGACAGGTATCATAGAAGGCACCTGCCCTCTGCTACCTACAGGGGGCAGCACTCACAGCACCTGCCCACTGAGGCTGCTTGGCGATGCAGAAATAGTCTTGCCAGATCTTCTGGCACTTCAAGGAAAGCCCAGATTTTTGTGTGTTTACTGATTCCTATTTTCCCCCAGACACCAGGCATACCCGGCAGATGGTACCCATGGGCCGCATGTGACCTTAGATCACAGAGTTGCGACCTCAGGTGTTTCTGGATGTGCCAAGTGCAGTCCCCAGCACGTGAGCTCTACCTCTTTTCTCCAGCCAGGATGACTTGGTATCACCGGAAAGGAACATAAGATTAAGCGCAAAATGGGTGGAGGTTTTCTTTTTGTTGTCTTAATGGGTTAAGTCTCATCATTAAATTTTCGTGAGCTGATGGCTTTCTGCAGCAGAAATGCCAGCCAGGCCTGGGTACCCTGAAAGCTCTATTAATCTTTCTGTAACCCCATTAACACTCACTGCATATTTCCTGTGAAAAGGATTAGAAATGACCAGGGCCTGCGGTATGGAAATATCTGTCATGTACCCAGCAGCCAAGGGAAGGTCGGGTGCTCACACAGTGGGGCGGTGGCTGGGACCCGCTTCTTCCGAGCTGTTCAGAGCAGGGCAGAGAGTGGGGAGAGAGAACCCCTTAGCCCTGGGAATCTTATAACTTGGCAGTCGTTACAACAGAGTCACCTGAGCTTCCCATCCAGCGCCATCTATTACCTTGAACCTGGGTTAGACACCTGCTCCCTGGGGGAAACCTAGGAACAGATTTATTCATGCAGCAATAATGGAGGAGTTCATTTGATTCCAGTGTGAATCTTTCCCCACAATCAATTTCACGCTCTGCCATAAATAATAGGGGTCGCGGAGGCAGTCAGGCAGGCGGGGGGTCTGGCTGGTGCTGGTGACAGTGTTCAGACAGTCGGAGGGAGGGGACAGAGAGTCTGAATCGCAGGATGTTCTTCTTCTAACACCCTCCCAGCCTTTAACGAGGACGACGTTGAGGCATTGCGGATTGACGGTTGGGAGCAGCCACGTCTCACCAGTGGGCTCGAATGCCGAGGAGCGGGCGATACAGTAGCAGGACTTCACACTCGCTCCCCTCTGGAGCCCAGGCCCACTTCTTCAGGAAAGCCTGTTGGTGGAGAGTTAATAAGCGGAGTGCTATAATTGGGAGAGTCCCAGGGATGCTCCAGGTTAGGTGCCCTGAGGCCATGTAGGAAATGACTGTTTGAAGTCTAAATTATATGAGAATAGGGAAGAAATGGTAAGAAAAAAAATCAGTCTTGGCTGGCTTATAGAGTTTTCTCCATTTCTAATGAAAGAAGGTGTGGAATTTTCAAAACTTCCCATCTAGAAGATACTGACTTAAATATACCTCCTAGGCTTGTGTTCTTCCATTCTTTATAGGGCTAAGGATTCTTTGTCAACTTCATTCCAGTCCCAGGGCCTTTGTACATGCTGCTTCCTTTGCCTTCTCTCTCTTCAGCTGGCTACGTCTTACTTAATCTTATAGTTTCAGTGTAAATATAATTTCTTCAAGGGTATCTTCCAGTCAATGTGCATGTTCTTATTCCAAGCTATATCATTATTTTTTATTACCCATTACAATTAAAATTGAACAATCATTTGTGTAACTGGTAAGTAGTGACTTTGTTCTTTAGTTTGAAAACAAACTTCTTGGGGAGCCAGGGGTGTGTCAGTGTTGTTCGGCATTATATTCTCAGCTCTTAGCCCAGCGTTTGCTGAGGGGAAGCACCTACACGTTTGCTGATGACCGGATGAATGCCAAATAAATGAGAAGACATTGGGTCTAGAGCTGCAGTGCGCTCCTGTGGATTCCAGGGGCCCAGCTGGTCAGGAGAAAGCAGTGTTAGGAGTCAGCAGGGTTTACTGGAGATGGTGGGGTGCACTTTTGACTCGGCTTCCAGCATAGTGTCGCCACTCAACAACTAACGTGTGAGTGTCAGTGGGGCCGGTACGAGGGTTGGTCTGGAAAGGGTCCCCCAGTCCCGGTGGCCACAAGACACGAGGAACCAGACTGAGTTACTGTAAGGTGGGGTAGCAGGAGGGGGACCCCAGACTCCTGAGTGACTCATGAGCCCGATTTAAGTGTCGCAGGTGTAGAGAAGAACACATGGGGCTGGTCAGAAAAATCCAGGACTCCAGAGGCTCGTGGTGTCTGTGCCCACCCCCGAGGGGTGCATGTGGAGCGGGGAGTGAATTCCAGAGCTGCCTGTGGAGATGGGGTTTCCACTGTTTGCGGCTTGGCGAGGGAGCCGCCAGTGCAGACACCTAGGGGGGCCACACCCCCACTTCCTCTCACAGCGTGGACCCCAGCTGTTGTCTCTGGAGGGACACACTGTCCCCCCTTGTGTGCAGGTGGCGCTGGGCTCTAAGTCTCTGGGCTGATTGGAGACGCAGGATTGTGACACTCGGGGCTATGCGCCTCTGGCCTTGGTGAGTCATTCAGTCAGGTGCCGGCGACAGATTAGGCCAGTCAGGGGCGAATTCACGCTCCCCACCCTGGAGTTAAACAAGGGTGGACAGGAAGCTGGAGCTGGGCCTCCCTCGTGCCCCAACAGAGAACCTTCTTCGGGATGTAGGCAGCAGCCAGAGGAGAGCGCAGAGATGGAGGTCGGAGTCTGGCCTTGCACTGCTATCCACCTGGAGCTGCAGACTCTCAATTTCTCGGCCCCAAATGAAAGACATAACTCAGGCATTTCCCCTCTTTTATCCCATCTCCCCCCATCTGACTCACAAGTACTTATACAAATCTATTTTGAACCTTGCTAATGGCTCTGTCAACCAAATGCAGATCCATAGAGCTCACAGAATGTCCGAGCTATTAACTATCTAGCCTGTCTTCCTACTTTAGCAAATAGGGATATTGAGGCACACACAGAGAGGTCATTCGCTTTACTCATTTCTTCATTCATTGAAAATGTATCAATAGTGCATTGGGTTCCAGGCCATTGCTAGACACTGAGCAGGCAAAAAGGAAAAGAACATTATTTTCTTACCAAGAAGCATGACGGGAGCCAAGTGTGATGGCACAGGCCTGTAATCCCAGCACTTGGGTGGCTGAAGCAGGAGGATTATGAATTAGAGGACTGCCTGGGTACATAGTGAGACCTTGTCTCAAAAAATTTAAAAATTAAAAAAGAAGGAAAGAAGGAAGGAAGAAAAAAGACTATGGAGTGGTAGAGATGTCCAAATAAGCAAACAATTGCAATAAACCCTGGTAGGTAGTAAAGGAATGGTGTCAAAGGTGTAGCAACACTCAGAAGGACCCCTCGTTTATCCTGGGTCATGGGTTGGTCTACTGCTGGGTGATTTTTGGAGGATAGCCAGAGTTCTCAGGATGGCGTCAGTGCATAGGTGCATTCCAGGCAAAGGAAGAGGTGGGCAGGAGCATTGGGGAAATCTCTGGGTGAATTCGAGCTGTCCAGTGTGGCTCAAATGTCTCCTGTCTGTGTGGGGTGGTGAGACATGGGCTGCGAGGAGATGGAAGCCAGACCCTCAAGGGACCTTTACGATGCACTAAGAGGTTTGGTGTTAGTTGTGGAGCAATAGGGAGCCATAGCAAGAGTTTAGTCACACAGCAGGCATGAATCCCAATGTATAAACTGAAATACAAGAAAACTAACTTCTCCTTTGCTTAACTCAGTCAATTTTTGAATTTGGGCCTTCCCTTCCCAACCTTAGCACCCACCACTGTGGAATTCTCCTAAGGGGGGGTTCTGGAGATTATCTCATGTCTGCTGTGGAGTTAAGGGATGTGGGGAGGCTTGCGGGTCTTCAAGCAGTCCATCTGCTTGACCAAGTATGAGGACAGCAGATGGGGAGGTGTCCGGCACCTTTGAGTGTTCCCTCGGAGTTGGCAGCTCTCAGGGGCCCCAATGTGCACCAGCCTCTTCTGCAACCTCCTGACCTCAGCTTCCACTGGACACACTATGATGATCCCTCAGGTAAATTTTCCTTCCACTCTGCTAGTGACATCACGATTAGGCTTCAGCTCCAGGGTTCACCAACCTCTCTGCTTTTATTTACTTCACTTTTTATGTTGTTGTTTTGAGATAGGGTCTCACTATGTAGTTCAGACTGGTCTTGAAATCACAGCAATCCTCCTGCCTCAGCCTCTGGCCTGCAAGGCTTCCACTGAGAAATCTTCTGACAGCCTTAGGGAAGATCTAATGTACATAATGAGTCACTTTTTTCTTGCTGCTTTCAAGATTCTCCTGTTGTCTTTCAAAAGTTCACAAATAAAGTGCCTCAGTGTGTGGTTTCTTTGTTTTTGTGATAGCCAACCTGACTCCATCTTGAGCCTCACCACCATTTTGTGCTGGACAAAGCACCCAAAACCCACATCCTTTTTGGAAGAGAACTTGCTGCAGCTGCAAGATATTTTTTTCATAGCTCACCAGTATGTGAAACTTCCTCTTGCCCACCACTAGCCTGGCATGGTTCTGTTTCTGTAAAATTCTGCTTGCTCTCCCCTGAGCCCTCCCCAACAGAAAACATGTTTTAAACCACTTCTCGGGGCCGAGAGTTCTTTCTGGGCACTAGTCCCTCTCGGTCACCAACTTTAAATAAATGGACTCGAATCTGACTCAGAGTGTGGCGAGTCTCTACAGTTTCAAGTCCCCTCAGTTACAACAGTTTAGTCTTAGCTGGAATCCATTTAAGCCTCTTGCATCTGTAAATCCGTTTCTTTCCTCAAATCTAGGAACTTCTCATTATTTTATCAGATAAACTCTTATTTTTTCTTTCTCTTTTCTTCTTCTGGAATTTCCACGATGTGTATATTGGACAACTTGATGGTGTCCCACACGGCCCTTAGACAGTTCACTTTTCTTTCTTTTCTTTTCTTTTCCTCCACAGACTTGGTAATTTTAAGTGAGTTGCCTCTGAGTTCACTGATTCCACCTGTCTTCCACCTGCTTGAATCTGCTGTTGAATCCTTCTAATAATTTTTCCAATTCAGTTATTATATTTTTTAGGCCAGAATCTCTTTTGTTCTATTTTATAACATCCATCATTTTGCAGATGTTCCCCTTTTACGTGTAACTTCCCTGATTTACTTTATGTCTTTGTTCACCTTTTCCTTTAGTTCTTTTAGTATACTTAATCCAGTTGTTTTAAAGTATTTATCTGGTATGCCTGAGGCATGTATTTCTTCACAGACTGTTTCTGAAGATTTATTTTGATCCTTCAAGTGGGTTGTGTTTCCTTGTTTCTTTGTATGCTTTGTGGCGTTCCCCTGTCTTTAAATACAGTCTACTAGCGTGGAAGACTTCTACCAGCATGAAGCCTTTCACTGTGGCTCCCTGAGCCTTGAGATCTTCCCAGGGCAAAGACTTACCCTCATTTTGGGTCTTTTCTAAGTATGTGTTTTGTTTCTCCTAGGAAGCTTTTAAATGCTTTAGTTTCTCAGAAAGTCTCACCCAAACTTCTTCTTGAGGCCATAGATGTCCTAGTGCAGTGGTGGCGAACCTATGGCACGCATGTTATTTTCTTTTTAAAACAAAATATGTGAACATATGAGTTGTTTTATCTTCACTAAGACCTCATTATTCAGATTTAATTATAGTTTTGGCACTTCGCAATATATAAGTTGGTTTTGGGTTGCAGTTTGAGTCTCTACTCTAAAAGTTTTGCCATTACTGCCCCAGTGTATTCCTCCTTGCTCAAGGTGTCTAGGGGTCTTCAGTCCCCTTGCAGTTTTCTTGTGCCATGATGGCCACCCCTGCCTTTTGCTGCCTCTTGTCTGGGTTCCAAACACTGCCTCATTTTTCTTTCAGCTCCAAGACCAGTGTGAGACAGAGACCAGTCTCTTGGGCAGATCACAGACAGAACGGCGTGTTGCAGATAATTTCTTGCCTAAGTAAAGAAATGTGGAAGTTAATCCCCTCTTCTAGACCATGTGTGTTGGAGGAAGTATGAAAAAAGGATGAATAAAAATACTTCAAAATTTCCTACCATTTTGAACGTGGTCTTTTCTTGATTGGGAGTTCACTGGTCACTGCTGTTGATGTTTTGGCTCAAAATCTCCTGTGAAGTTATTTTAGTCCATCTCCATCTCTTTATTTTTGTTTCCATGGGAAAACAGACTTGGAGCATTCTTGTCTTTCATCTTGCTCAAGTCCACCTCTGGGGGATTGTTTTTGAATGAGACAAAAGGCAAATAAACAAATTAGTGATTGAGTGACCTATTTCATATATTTTACATCTGCTTCTGCAGAACTCTGAACATCTTTCAGAGAGTACCTCGGAATGGGCTTTGGCAGCTTTGGGAAGATGAATGAGGTAGAGTTTTGGGCATGAAAGGTTAGAATTGGATGCATCTTTCCCCCTAGATCCAGGGCTTTAACTTCCACAAGAACCACTATTGACATGAAGTTGGAAGCCGCAAGAATATCTTATCATGTCCCTGCCACTTGCTGACAATGACCTCATCCAGTGCATTTAATTTCTTTTGATATCTAGCTTCCATATCTATTAAATAAAATAATAATAAATGGTTATAAGAATGACAGTGAGGAAAATGCATAGTTCTTTATGAATAAGAAGGATTATGTAGAAGGCTAACGAAGAGGACTCTACTGGTTGTCTCTCATCTGTTTCTCTCTCTGAATTTGCACATCGTGGGAAATTGGCACTGTTTCCAGCTCCAGTGGGTATGGAGGGAGAAGGATATTGGAGTATTGCTTGGTCTAGACTAGGATATCCAGCAGAACTTTCCAAGAAGATGGAAATATTTTGTACTTTCCAGTATGGTAACGATTGAGTCCTTGAAATATGAGTAGTTCATTGGAGGAACTAAACTTTAAATTTTATTTAATTTTAATTCACTTAAATTTAAAATTAATCAGTAACATCATACTGGCTATAACAAAAAGGATGGACAGATATTGATGAATGTATGGAGAAGTTAACACCTTCACATATTGCTGATGGAAATGTACAGTGGAGGAGCACTTTAGGAAATACCTTGACAGTTTTTCCCAGAGCTAAATACAGTATAGCTATATATGATCCAGTGATTTTGTTCTCATGTGTATACCCAAGAGAATTGAAAACACGTTCACACAAAGACTTATACATGAATGTCTAAAGTGACATCATTTATAATAGCTAAAACATGGAAGCAACTTATATGTCTGTCAATTGATCAGTGAGATAGGTTTAAAATATGGTGTATCCATGCAATGCAGTATCATTGCATTAGAATAAATAGAGTACTTTACATGTTGCACTTGGAATAAATCTTATAAGTATTATGCTAAGCGAAAGAAGCCATATCCATGACTGTATGTTATGATTCCATTTATACAGAATTTCCAGAATAAGCAAATCCTTGGAGTTGGAAAACAGATTAGTGGTTGCTTGGAACTTGGAGGGAAAAGAGTGAATCCAGAGCCCTTTTGGGGGTTGATGAAAATGGTTTGGAATTAGGCAGTGGTGATGGTTGCAAAATGTGAATATACAAAAAAGCCACAGAATTTTACTTTTTAAAAGGGATGGTTTTATGGTGTGTGAAATACATTTCCATTTTAAAAATATCCCATGTGATCAGTGGCTACTGTACTGGGCAGCACAGGTCTAGATGTACCTTGGGAATTCCTTCCCCTTTTTGTCAGCAAGCAAAGACCAGGTTCAGGCCAATGCGGTTCAGTTTCTGAGTGGAAAAGTCTTCCTCACTTGTACGGAGGACATACAGAAAGGAGTTGTCTTTTAAATTCTCTGTATTTCCTCTATTTTTCCTACAATGTACTGGATAGGAAGTTTAGAACCTCTGATACCATTTGAATCCATAGAAAGGAGGTGACCACAAAGCTCTCATATATTGAAGGTAGCAAAGACTGGGAAAGTGGAACATATTTTGGCCTTTGATGGCATTATTGAGTCCTAAATTATAAAACTGCAACTTTCCTTCCTCCTGCATTAGACGTAAAATTGCATGAGATTAAAAATTTCTTAGTTTAAGTCAGCTTAGTCAATTACTTACCGATAAAGACATCTGAAGTCATAACATTCCCTCAACCCCATGTTCTTCATCACCATTTCCCTCTCCTCCTCCTCATCTTCATCATCATTTCCCTGGAATTTGTCAAGGTGGTAGTTTATGTGAACTGAGGATTTTGGTATAAATACAGGAGTTTTCAAGACTGTGCTTGGCCCTGGATGGGGAGGATTTCTCCTTAATGAGCTTCCCTTGCCTTCTTAAAAACTTCTGGAAGGAACAGATATTCTGTTAATAAACAGCGCTTTCACAGCACTTTACAGCCCTCAAAGATTTAGCCTTTCATCTTATTTAATGTTCATTACAGCTAGAGAGAGAGCCAGAGCTGGGATCCTTACTCCATTTCAAGCAAGAGTAGGATTTGGATGGAAGTGACTTGCCCAAGGTCAGGAAGAGGCATACCCTCAAGTTCAGGTTTCTGCCTTCTGTTTTACTGCCCCTTAATGCAGGGCCTCGTTGGTACAGATGCTGTGGTGGTGCTCGATATTCATGCACTTCTGCAGCAGGCAGGGATGCAGTGGAACTTGCAGTCATGAAAGATGTTCTGGCTTTCCCACCTTCCTTTCCACCACTGAGCAATTCTGTGACCACTGGGACCTGCCTCTGGGTTCAGCCAGGTACAGCAGACCTGGACGTTTGCATGTGGAAGGCAGACACGGCGATCTCAGTGTTCATCCTCTGGGGTTGTAGAAATCTTGCCTCCTCCTCTACTCTGAACCTGAGACAATGGGATAACCTGAAATAGTAAGGGATTTTGGTGCAGCCATGAATATTTGTGGCATTTGAAAGCCAGAGAACTGGGTCAAATTAAGCTGGCCCAGAGCACCCACAGCAGCAGCAAGTGTGAGGAACAGGGCCGCAGAAGTGATAATTCCAGTCTTGTTCCTGCATGATTCTGGCTCCGAAATGATACCAGCAAAGGAGCCAGGGGCCTGCTCAGCTCAACTGTTTTCCAGCCCTATCTTTACCCATGGTGTCCTGGTCACCAAAATGGCCTCATTGCCTGTTGTCATGGCATAACTATAAAAGATATCCCAAGTTTGCATGTGTGTGGAGGGGACTGTTTCACTGAGAGCTTTGCCTGGAAAGGTGTATCTGGTGCCCCATGCTTCTCCCTTTGCTCTCTGTGCTTCCTGGGTACTGCCAAGTAAGCAGTTTGCCTCCATCATGCCCCACTGCCAAGCTATTTCTGCCTTGGACCTAGCCAATCACGGACTGTAACCATGAGGCAAAATAAACCTCTCCTCCTTAAACTGTGGTGTGGAGTATAGTAAGTCCTTGGATTGTGAGTAACTTATTCTGCCAGTGTTGTGGAAGTCTAGCAAACATTTCTAATGAACTTTAACTTAATAAACAAGTAAAGTCTTGCAATATGAGTGGTGCATGACTCCCAAACATCACATGACCACAGTGAGCCAATGGTTATTCTCTCTCACTTGCTGGGGGATTGTGGGTGATGGTCTCCTAACAGCAATGAGGAGATCTTGTCTGCAGAGGAGGAGAAAATGGCAGAGGTATTCCTCACTTCAAATGAGGTTATAGAGATGTGTAAAATGTGGAAAACAGTGCAAAATTTTGTAGAAAAGCACCACCCAAATAAGGTTGTAGCAGTGCAAGTAATAAATCTGTTTAATGACACATTCCCATTTCCAAGAAATCCTTAAAAGGAGGCAAAGGCAAGTGCCACTGGATAGGTTCCTTGTTAAAGTTGCACAAAAAGAAAAAGATTCCACTGAGTCAGTAGACGGCAGTGATTCTCTTAGTGATGGTAAAAATCACCTGCACAATACCCCTCCCCTCTTGTCTCCCTCACACCAGCCATGAAGGTTTTCAAATGTAAGTACAGGTTCATTTATTTATTTTTCTATCTGTCTGTCTGTCTGTCTGTCTATCTGTCTATACATCTATATTTTTGGTACCAGAAATCAAACTCAGGGCCTCGCACTTGCCAGACACGTGCTTCACCACTGAGCTACATCCCTGGCTCCTTTCCTTTATATTTTCTTTATTTTGTATTATATTACAGTGTTGTTATCATTTTTATATGAGTGTTTTTGGGTGGTGGGATAAATCATCTGAGTTTCCATTATTTCTTTTTTTTTGTCTTTATCATTTCTTAATGTTTAATTATGCAGACATCAGACCCTCAATTTAAAACAATTTTCAATCACATTCAATAGATATATTTTAAGGAACACTACAGTGAAAGTTAGAAACCTATAACTGAAGTTATAAAAGTACACAAATACTGAAATACTTGAAATATTCAAAATTTATCTAAAGAACCATCCAGAAACCCATGACTGCTATGTAAGACTTTAGGATACTAAAGCAAATTCCTTACCACATACACGTAGTTTCTGTTCCATTTAGAACACCATTTAGTCAAAGTTAAATAACATAAAAAGTGATTTTCCAACAGCGTTTCTACCTTTCATCTAGTTTTTCTTCACTGTGAAACCAAACTACTTGCCCGAACTGCAACACTTGGACATATCTTAAATCAACTCATTTGCTCTATTGGAACTCCTCACATATTTATTAAGACTCAAGGAAATACAAAAAGGTTTGCATGTTTCTTATTCTACATAGCTTCAAGTGAGTTCTTTCAATGACATTTCCATGTTCCTTAAATTCAAGGAGCATCCTCAGAGTTCTTTCAAGCCACAAATGAAGGTTTACATTGCATATATTCATAAGATTTCTTAAGACTGAATTGCAATTGCTAAGGATTAAGGACTTCCCAAAATATTTTCTGAATTCCTTACAAAGTATTTCTCTCCAGAGTTTTCATGTTCATTAATGCCAGAAGGACTTATGTTAGCATCGGGGCTATTTAAGTTTTCCTCACATTCCTTGTATTCATATGCTCCAAATGGTGCAAGTGTCTCTCCAAAAGATGCAGGTCCAGGTGTCTCTCCAAAAACACTGTGGGTGTCTCTCTGAGTGGTGTGGGTGTCTCTCCATATGGTGCCTTTCCGGTGTGCTTTTGTAAATGTTTATTAAGGCCTGAGTGCTCAGTAAAGGCTTTTCCACAGTACTTACATACATAGGGCTTCTCTCCAGTGTGAATTCCCATGTGAACACTAAGGTAAGAGGACCACAAAAATGATTTCCCACATATCATACTCTGAAAGGGCTTCTCCCCAGTATGTGTTCGCATGTGAATGGGAAGGTAAGAAGAACAGGTAAATGTCTTTCCACACACTGTGCTCTGAAAAGGTTTCTCTCCAGTGTGAATCTTCAGATGTACATGAAGATATGAGGAAGACACAAAGGCTTTCCCACAGTGGTCACATTCAAAAGGTTTCTCACCCTTGTGACTTCGTACATGTGCAATAAGGCCTGAGGAAGTAGTGAAGGCTTTCCCACATTCCTGGCACGCATAGAACTTCCCACCAGTGTGATTTTGTAAATGTATAGTAAGGCCTGAGCGTGCAGGGAAGTCTTTCCCACAGTAAGTACATTTATAAGGTTTGCTCCAGTGTGAATTCAAAAGTGGGTCTCAAGGGATGAAGAATTTCTGAAAGACTTTGGGCATAGCTTACATTTGAAGGGCCTCTCACTACTGTGAGTTTTTATGTGTACTGTAAGTTGAGCAAAGCTAGTGAAACCTTTCCCACACTCCTTACATTCATATGCCCTTTCCCCAGTATGTGTCCTTACGTGCTTAGTAAGGGATGAGCGCTCAGGGAAGGGTTTCCCACATTCTGTACGTTCACAGGGTTTCTCACCAGTGTGAGTTCTCATGTGAATGCGAAGGTAGGAGGATCGGGAAAATGCTTTCTCACACAGGTTACACTGGAAGGGCTTCTCTCCAGTGTGAGATCGCAAATGTGCAACAAGAGATGAGGAATAAGCCAAGGCTTTACCACATTTGTAACATTCAAAGGGCTTCTCCCCTGTATGAATTCTTCTATGTTCAACAAGCACTGAGGACATACTAAATGCTTTCCCACACTCCTTATAGTCGTAGGGTTTCTCACCACTGTGAATGAGTACATGCTTAGCAAGGCCTGATCGAGCAGTGAAGTCCTTCCCACAGAAGTTACATTTATAGGGTTTTATTCCAGGGTGAATTGGAAAGTGAGTCTTAAGGCATGAGGAATTTCTAAAGATTCTTGCACATACCTTACACTGAAAGGGCTTCTCACCAGTATGAGTTTTTGTGTGCTCAGTAAGTTGAGCAAGGCTGGTGAAGGCTTTTTCACATAATGTACATGCATAGGGCTTCTCCCCAGTATGTTTTTGTAAGTGAATAGTGAGCCACAAGCATCCACTGAAGGCTTTCCGACGTACTCTACATTCATAGGGTTTCTCCCCAGTGTGAGTTCGTATGTGACCAAGAAGGTAGGAGGAGCGTGTAAATGCTTTCCCGCATACGTTACACTCAAAGGGCTTTTCTCCACCTCGGGTCCCACAGCTCAGAAAGGGGCCGGGGCCCTTTAAGAAACCAGCTTCATGCTTCAAAGAAATGTCAGAGGCTGAGTCTGCTCCAAGGTAACCTGTCCTGTCAATCAGCCCTCAGCCCTCGGCCCCGCCAGGCCTTCGGCAGAGGCCAGAGAAGATTTATTTTGTCTCACTTAATTGCCCTTTTGCTTTGTAAACACAAAGATTGCAGCTTATGGTCTGACAGCTAGAGTAGCCTTTTGCTTATCAGAGAAAAATGACATTTGGGTTCTCAGGAGCGATTTCCTCACTCCTCCTGAAGCCCACGAGCTCCCTGGCCTAGCGCAAGGGCTTGCAGGTGCTGCACAAAGACCCCAGTCCAAGGCTGGCAGCCACTGCTCTTAGGCTGCAGTCATTTCTTCTAGGAGTGAGGGTGCTAGCAGGACTCGCCTTAGAAGGTGACTGCGGACATTTCCTGGACGGGGCAGTGGAGTGACCAAGGGCCCCAGTGAGGAGCTGAGGCTTCTGCATTCAAATCCCGGCTCTGCCACTTACATGTGACTTAACTTTCTCTGCCTCAGTTTCCTTCTCTGTCAAATGGGGGTGACAAGAGTAGCAGAGGCACAGTGTCCTCAGGAGGGTTTGAAGAGAGCTATTTAAATGATCAGCTGCTACACGCTATGCTCATGCCCAGCACACAGTAGGTAGGTCGCTATTGCTCTTTACAACACAATTCCTCAAGAAATGCTTTTCTTGTTAGCATTTAATCATTTGGGGATTTCACATGAAATGCAGATTTCTGGCTTTCCTGGAAAAGCAGGCAGCCCCTGGGCATTACTCCGCCACACTCCCCTGCACTGTGGCTCCTGCCAATACTGCTGGGCCTGTGGCCATTCGGCCCCCCAGCCTCAGCTCCCAGTAGGCGCCGAGCTCCTATGAGAATCTAATGTCTGCAGTGATCAGAGCGGAGGCGGAGTTAAGCAGTGATGCCAGTGATGGCGAGCGCTGTGATACAGAGGAAGCCTCACCACACACTTCCTGTGGTGTGGCCTGGCTCCTAACAGGGCACGGGCTGGGCTGTGGCCTGCAGGTTGGGCACCCTGATTTGTAGAGTGGAGACGGGGCAGACTCTGACAATCTTGTTTCTCCAGGCTCCTCCTCAGTGTTGCAGCTCACGCAGTCCTCAAGCTCCTTCTTGTCTTAGGGTCCCGGCTACACTCACGAACTTTGTGCTGACCTTCTCTCAGTCCTGGTTCTTACCCGCCGCTGTATGTGTGGTTCTCTAGGTACCCTGCGCAATTTGCTCTCTCCTTAAAATGCTCCATTCTGCCATTTCCCTGCATCTTCGCACATACTCCGACATCTGTCGGCAAGCTCTTTTCTCCCTCTCCCATCTTTTCTTTTGGTACCAGAGATCGAACTTGGGACCTTGTACTTGCACTGCTGGAACCACTGAACTAAATCCCTGGCCCAACCTCTCCCATCTTTTAAAGGCCAGCAGAAATGTCACTCCCGGGAATACTTGTACATGATCCACCAGGCAAAACAATTAGCCCAGTATGAGCTCAGTTTGCACAGGCCCTGTTCAAGGGGTGTAGAGATGGGTGCAACACAGCCCAGGCCCACTTGGGAGCCCGGAACTGGCCACTCTGCTAATCCTGTGTCCCTAACACACCTTGTACATGGGGCCCTGTGGACTCAATTGTTGGGTTGGAAGTATTTACATGTCTCTGTTCTTCCCTAAACAAAGACCCCCTTGAAGTTCAAAGCTCTGCCTTTTATTACTGTATTGCCTTAGCAGAATGCCTAGTTTAATGCAGATAGTTGATAGGTTTATCACCAAGTAAAAGAGGAAATCTATTATGATAAAGTACAAATGGTAGGAACCTGCAATGAGCTGTAAGGAGAATGGTTGGTGGAAAATCTTGTAATGAAGGAGGTAGAAGGTGATTGATAAGGTGTTGATAAGGCCTCATGGAGGATTTCAAGTGCTATGTTGAGGTTTTGCTGGTTAGGGAGGTAAGAGAGAGCTGTCTGCATACTGTTTACATTCCTGCTACTACCATGCTCTAAAGAGCCAAGAAAACATTGTGGCCAGATTGAGGGGTCCAGTGGAAACTGAGATGGAAAGAAATGGACTAACTCTAACAGTGGTCAAGACAAAGGGGAAAGTTAGAGGAGGAGGGGTCTCTACTCAGGTCACTGAGTAGCCGGAAGTGTCAATCTTTGAGATGGGAAAGATGGGAAGAGTAGATCTGGGAAGCAGAAGCTGATTATGAGAGGAGTATTTATGCAAAGTCATCTTAGTTAGTTTCTTGTTGCTGGAACAAAATATCTGACACTCACAAGTTAAAAGAGGAAAGGTCTATTTTAGCTCACAGTCTGTAAGGTTTCAGTCCATAGTCAGCTGGCTCCAAGGCAGGGCAGCATGGCACAGGAGTATGGGCATGGCAGAGGAGAAATAGTCCATGGCAGGGTAGGCAACAGGCAGCAGCCTTCCTTCCTCTTTCCCTTTTTACTCCATCCAGGCTACAAGCCTAGGGATTGCATGTGCGTGCGCGCGCACACACACACACACACACACACATGATAAATCCATCATCCATACCCAGAACCAAGCTAAACCAATTGGTGGACTAATCTGGTATCACACACCCATGATCCAGCCAGCTCCCCCAACCCCCCCCCCTATGAGTATAGGAGTCTTTGGGGGGGACATCTAGATGTAAGCCATAACAAAAATGTTTTATTAGAAAATGATCTTTAGAAAAATTGGTAAGAAAGTTGGCATGCAGGCCAGGGAAGGGAAAGAGACTAAGCAGCGATGCAGTAAGTGGCTCTGACCTACAGGGCACCCTGTAGTAGGTCATGGCTTAGTGTGGTCCCTATCAGATATGGGAACTGAGCTATTCATATGCCTGCACTTGTCAACCAGTGGCTGAAAACTGCCATCCATTGGGGATATACACGTCCTGAGCCACTCTGGTCCCTGAATTTGTGCAGGAATAGTGGCTTCCAGCAGCCTTCTGACAAAGTATGCAGTAAGCACAATCCACAGGAAGATGACACCACAGAACTAGACAAGGGACTGGGTGTGGACAGAACACTGACATCTGCTCCAGGTGGTAGGGTTGAGAGAGCAGTTTGGGACATATTGAGCTTGAGTTCCAGGTGGGAGGGGTCATCTAAGTGGAGACTATTCTTAATAAGTTGGATAGTCATTCATTCAACCCACAAATAGTATGGCATACCGTGTCCCTAGTTCTGTGGGAGGTAACAAGTCTCCTGATGGATGCCCTTATGGAATTCCCATTCTCATGGCAGAGACACTAAGCAAATGGACTCTAACACATTGTCATAGAGTGAAAAAGTCCTAAGATGGTGTCTGATACTGAATCCTCATTGCAGCAAAAGTCTCCTTGTCTGAGGAGGGGTTATGTATGGGTTCATCAACATCATAGACAAATAAATGGTGGAATACAGTAAGATCCATGCTATAATGGATCCATGTTATATGATTAGTTCAAAAGAATTCAGGTTAGGCTTGTGAAGGCAAAGCCTCTTTAGGAATCTGGTGTTCATCCCCATGGACACTTGTTTTCCTGTCTTAATGAACAGCTTTGTGATCCCCTTGTCTGGCATCCATAGTGACGTGTAGAATGTCTGCTCTTGACCAGCACTTAAGTCACCAGCACAGTGTGGCTGCTCACAGCCAGTGTGGTCTGGTGGAAAGAGCAAGGGCTTTGAAGAGGGACTTGGGTTTGGATCCTGAGCCCACCACTTACTAGTCATGTGGCTATGGGTAAGTGACACGGCATTTGCAACCACATTTTCCTTCTCTAAAGTGGGCAATGTGTCGAATGTCATTTGGAAATGTTGGGAGAATTAGAGAAGATAATACATATAAAACTTTTAACAAGTTCCAGGCACAGCGCAAGTACTCAAAGTGGAAGTGTTATTGTAGGGAGGACAGCAAGTTCTCAAGCCTTCAGTGCACTTGCAAACCTACTCAACAGGCTCTGCAGAAACCTGTTGGGCGTAGCAACAGGATGTCACTGCTGCACAACCCCACTGGTCATTCCTGACAAGTCCCGGTGGCTGAGCAGATGTCGAGGAGAATGGGAATGAAGCTCCTTCCAATGCAAGGAGACTCACTGACCTTGTTTAAGGGACGGGCTGAGATCACATTAACATTCACATATTGGCCAAATCTCCACAATGTGGGATAATGGAAAAAGGTGGCAAAACGATCGAGGAAATCTGCCTTCTTTGCTCACCTTACGCGGGCGGTGAACAGAAACACGCTAGCCAGTTCTCCCACCTTCATTGTCATTCCAGTGGGCACACCCGTAGTCTGGTCATGCCAGACCCTCTGCCGCTCACCCCTGCAGACAGGAACAAGTCCAAAATCCTTCATCTGACTTTAAAATTTCTTCGTGACCTAGAATCCTACTTACCTTTTCAATGTCTTCTCTTGACATTTGAGGTTTTCTCCCTCTGCTCTTGCTGCATTGTTATTCTTTCATTTAGTCCATTGTGCCAAGGTCCTTCCTACCTCTCGACTCTAGCACTTGGTGTCTCTTTAGCTTGAACCCACTCTTGTCTGAAACCCTCTTGATACGCAGCCTGATCTTGCCTTGGCCAACTCCTACTTGTACCTTAGGTTTTGGTTTAGTAACACACTCTGGTGAGATCTAACTTGATTTTCTAGGTTGGACATCCATTATCTGAAAATTTGAAAATTTGAAAACTCCCCAATTCAAAATAGTTTCAGTGCTGACATGATGCCCCAGATGGGAAATTCATACCTGAATTCATGTGATGGTCACAGTTGAAATGCAGGTGCACTAAAAAAAATTGTGTAAAATTACCTTCATGTTAGGTATGTAAGGTATGTATGAAACATAAATAAATTCCACGTTTAGATTTTGGTTACAACCCCAAGATACCTTATTATATGTAAGCAAATGTTCTAAAATCTGAAGAATCAGAAATCTGAAATACTCCTGGTCACAAACATTTCGGATGAGAGCTATTTAACCTGTGTTATGTGTATTTCCTTAGTACTTTAAAGTTTTTTGTAATACCTATCCAGGTGAAATTAATTACCTATTGGTGGTGATTGTTTATTTCTTTTTATGGTTTGCAAATTTCATAAGGATGGGTAAAACAATGGCTAAGCATTCTTACTTTTCAGTCAACCATACATCATTCACCCATCCATCCATCTGTCCATCCATCCACCCATCTGTCCGTCCATCCACCCACCCATCCATCCACTCAATCCAGAACATCAGTCAAGACAACAAATACTCTAAAGAATTGCGGTGTATTGGACCCTTGGTGAGCACTGCATTCATACATTTCTAGATTTTACCATTCTTTTAAAATTTGCTAGAAGATGAATTTATGACCATCACAGTGCCTAGTACAAGTGGGCAAATATTTAAGTCCTCCTATCTGAAGACGAATATTAAACATGATTTTAATTTTTGTTTTCAATCAAAAAACGGGAGCAAGGTAGGACACAGAGCTAAATGAGTTGTTTGGGATATAGTGTGGAGGTTTAATTGAGAAGTTGTGGGTACATGGAAGGCACTTTAAATAACGGTAAAGCTGGGTGTATGGAGGGCTTCTAGGAGCTGTCATAATGTGCTATGAGTGTGTAACCCAGTTCATTTCTAAGGGCTGGACTAGGGCACTAGCACTTGGCCTTATCCGTGGCAATGTGTTGGCAATATCTAAGGTCATCATATTAGTCCCAGTCAGTTGACTACATGTCTGCCTTTGTTTCCTTAATAAGAACTTAAGCTCCCATCATTTTGGTTGGAGCCCTGATCTTCATGGGCCCCGTCCTCCGTACTCCTGAACTGCTTTGGTGGTCCCGTTCCCTTAAGAGTGACTCTAACAGAGCTGTGAAACTTTACACACCTCAACTGCATTGCTGCCCTCAGGACTTGTAGCTGCCTAGATGACCCCTAGAACACCCTGGATTGAGCTTTGTCCTAGCTTTCTCTTTCATATGATGAACTCAAATGTTTGGAAATATTTCCAAAATTCCTTACTTCCCTGAATAACCCCTGGATTATGGAATGGTTCAGAGGTTTACATGGAAGGACATTTATCAAAGTGCTTGGGGCGTGGGCAGGAGTCTCACTGTTGTCTCTGTTGCTCCTGATATTCCAGGTCACAGTGCTGGAGAGCAAAGAGCGCTTATCCCACAGTTGAGAGATTTTCCCAGAGTCTGTAACTAATTTAAGTGGGATTTGGGACAAATCCTTTAATACCTCTGGGTCTCAATTTCCCTATCTGAAATTATCCCAAGGGCCCTATTTGACTAGAATTTGCCTTATTTCCTGCAGGCTTACTTTCCCCAAACACTGGAATGGTATATCAGTTCTCTAATAACTCTTACAGCATTAAGTAAGTAATAGACAACAATCAAATTGATTGAAGAGAAAAGAGGATCACTAGGTTTAGCTTTCCGTCCCATCCTCAGCTTGACTTTCCTTTCATTTGCTTCTGCTCAGTGGTCCTTCTCCAGGTGCTGGCATGCTCTGGGTGTTCAGTGGATCAGCCTCGTAACCATCATGGAAAGTACCTTTTCCCCCAGTTGTCACCTAAGTCTTTGAATTCACATCTCCAGGACTGAATTGGGTCCTGTGCCTGTCCTGGGATCCATTCCTGTGAGCTGGGAAGGTCCAGTCCATCTCATTCCCCAACCTCTGACATCCACAATGAAGGCAGGTGCCATAAACCCTTGCCAGATGGGGAGACAGGTGAGTAGAACCCCCCCACCCCCCCGTAACCTAGGGTGAAAGAACAGGTAAAACAGCATATCCACAAAACAGGCACTGGGCTGAAACCTGTCACGAGCTGGCTTTGTCTTCTCTTCCCATCCTCGGATTTGATATTCATTTTCTCAGTCTCTCTTCTTTTGCCAGCACACCTCTTCCTTTCATCTGCCCTCTGAACAATTCCTCTCCTTTCCAGAACAGCAGGGAACTGCTGTTCATTGCTACAGGAAGAGTTCATTGTTCCTTCCTCTGTGTTCCCAAAATGCTGTCCTTTGATCTACAACTCAGAGCCTATGATGATGCCATGCGACTGCTTATTTCTGCAGCTATCTTCTCTACTAAATTGTGAGCCCCACGAGGCAGTGACTGCAGGATTTATCTTTGTAGCTCTGGTGCCTGGAGTAGTCATGGTGCATAGTAGGTACATAACAAATGTTCCTTGCATTTAAAGGGCTCAATCAGGCTTCAATTCATCAGAGCCTTGCCAGTGTCCCCAACTGTACATCACTTCCTGTGTCCTGGAGGATGCTGGGAAGATCAATGAGACAATATTACAAAGGCCTGGGAGAGGAGGGCATCCAGTGAATTCATGGCTTTCTTATTAGTGGTGGAATGCTTATTAAGAGACCCTGGCACATTGCGTCTGCTAGGGGCTGGACAAGAGATATGGAAAGTTGTGAGCAGAATGCCAAAGTGGAAAAAAGTTCAGCTGGCAAATGTGGAAAACATCTGCTAAAAAGCCCATAATTTACATTGGATTAGCAGATGAAAGATTAGGTAGCCACCGCAACATCCCTTCTTGGAGTATGAACATCTCATTTATAAAAATATTGATCCTACTTCTTCAGACATAATTGATCGATTATATTTTGGGGAAGAAAAATCGTTTCCAGGTCTCTGCGGGATTGGCCTTGCTTCATCTCACAATGTTGGGTTCCCCTAACTATTGATCATCTTATTTTTCAAGATTGCAACTCTTCCCTCTCTAGAAGTGGGGAGGGAGGAGGCATATATTTACAAGGAAGCAGGAAGAGTCTGTCTTTGAGAAGTTCTTAGGTGGGCTGTAAAAAAATAGCCTAAGCATTGACTATTAGAGTCATAGTCTTAGAAATGGAATGCATCTTAGGATTTACCTAATTCAGACTTTCAAATCTTACCAGGCATCAACCACTGCACTTTAGAGGAAGAAGGCTGGGAAAGCACATTAAAATTCTATTTCTGTCATTAAAAGACTAGTACATGTTCTTTGTGGAAGATTAAAACCATATAGGAAAAAAAAACAGAAGTGATTTTCTATCACTCCTCACATTAAGTAAACCAGGTAATATTTTTAAAAATATACTTTCAATAATTTTACAGTTAGAATTACTCTTTATGTGTTGCTTGCTAGCCCACTCTTTCACTTACTATGAGCATTTCAATGATTCCTCTTTTCTGTTGTCCTTTAGACATCTTTTTAATGGATGGATAGCATTTTGTCATGTGTTTGTATACTATTATCTTTCTCTAATTACTTCATCATTATTGGACAATGAGGGTATTGTGGTATTCTTGTTTTGCTATTGAAAATAACAATGTAGTCATATCACGCTGTATAAAGTTTGGCATATATCTCTAGATACTTCTGTTAACGGATGCCGGAGTGCCCAGTGGTCCCTTCCAGGCTCTTCTTGTCCTGAACAAAGAATTGGATGGGACAACGAGAGAACATGGAGGTTTTACATTTATTTACATTTAAAGGAAAGGTTTTTACATAGAACAGTAGGGAGAGAAGAGAGAAGAAACGTCTAAAGAACAAAACATTTTCTGAACAAAAGAAGGGTGGGAGAAAAATACAGGCCCTGCGTGGCAGTGGCCACGAGGTTACAGGCTGTTGGGGTTTATATCCCATTCTGACGTCAGATCCGGGCTGTCCTCTGCAGCTTCGGAAGCTGTTCTGCGCATGAGTTCCGGGATGATTGACAGATCACTGTGATTGATAGGTCATGCCCAATTGCCTCGCTGGTTTGTCACGACTTAGTCTCCCGCCTCACTTTGGTAGGCTGCATTTCCTAGAGAGAAAATCGCTTGAACAAAGACTTTTTTCAAGATTTTGTTATATGCTTAAAATTGTCTTCCAGAAAATATGCATCAGTTTGCATTTCACTAATACTGGTTTTACTGCACTGTTGCTAGGGCAATATTAGTATCATCTGAAAAAAAAGTTGTTAATTTGAAAGCCAAAGAAAAGTACATTGTTATTTTTACTTCCTGCTTCTTATAGAGAGCTTATTTGAAATATAATTTGTCCATTTGACACATCCAATATTTTTAGGATGTTCAAAGACAAGCTTGTACAATGGTCACCATAATCTGTTTTGGAACATTTTCATCTCTCCAAAGAAATGCAGTACCCATTAGAGTAATTCCTCATCTCCTCACTTCCTCTCAAGACAATCACCTATTTACTTGCTGGACCTCCAGATTCACATGCTATGAACATTTTGTGTGAGTTCTACTTCATATGTATCCTGGGGCCATACAATGTGAC